TGTAGGCAGAATGTGAGTGCGCGAGAAAGGGAGACAGACAGAGCGGGTGTGTGCACGGGAGTGGGAGCGTCTTGTTATGGAGGAACAGAGCATGTTGCAGATAAGAGGGCGACGCTGTTCAAAGAATAAGGCAGGCCGGTAAAGTGCGCGCCGATTCGACATCATCGCCTTACTGTCCCTTAATGAGCCTGGAGAGGAAGTCTGGGGTCCATAGAATCTGCTCCTGTCTCGCTCCAATCACGCTGCTGGGCTTTTTATTCAAATCTCACACACAACTGTCACACAGGCAGTCTGTCCGCGCTGTTTATCTTACTCCAGGAGGTTGTTAACAAGACAAATGAATGAATAAATACACAAATAATGCGTTTAGGTAATGTTAATAATGTATGAAATGGAAGCTGCTTTTTGACAGTAGCGCTGCACTAAGGATTCTTCCCAACTTTAGTGACAGGCTTGTTTATTCTTTTCCCAGCATGCAATTCTCTGCATCTTTCGCAGGCGATGTCTAGCCAATACTATAGCACATCTCGCTGATGAGAAAAAAGAGGTCTGACACATTAGTTTAGACTTCTCTCCCATGAAAAATACCCCATATACTGTGAGGATTGAGCCATTTCTCCCTTCATCCAAAACGTCTAGCATGATGATCCTCCTTAATCTCATGGAATCCAGGTCTCCTTTTCACCCCATCACACTTTCCTCCAGCTATAACATGACTGATTTCAGTGACGTTTTAACAGGCAATTCAATTAGAGTAAACTTTATTGAAAAAGGGCTCTATAAAAATACGTGTACACACTTGTACAGGTATGCGAGACCAGTCAAATCCCAGCATCCCCTGCCTCAAAGAAGTGTCCCAAACTTCTAGGACTATTAGAAAAAAAGGGAAAACAAACAAAAAAACAGGAGTGGGGGGGGGGGGGTTGCTCAAAGAAACTGACTGGTTTGGAAAATACATGCAGGCCTAGCACTCAGGCGTTGTCAACTACACACACTTCGAAGACGGAGAAGAATAAAATAACAACACGCACATCAAAACCGGAGCCAAAGAAATCCAAGAGAAGTTCAGATGGGTCTTCAGTGGAACTGCCAAGTGGAACAAAATCAAATAAATTGGGGGGTTAGTCTCGTTCAGGCTGGCCCGACAAACCTGAAAACACTGTTTAGAATATATGAGGAAGGTGACGGAGGACGATGCTAAATGACTCAGAAAGCAGATACCCGGTGTTTACCATTGTAAACTCCAAAGAAAAGCCCCTCTCCTGTTAGAACGCGGGTGGGAACAGAAAAGTGAATTCAAGGCGGCTTAAGTGCTCTCTGGAATCACTCAGCATTCCACCGTCTTCAACACACACACAGCCACAGATTTCAAATTTGACTGTGACAGTGTATTCATCCATAACTGTAAATTGTTCTTTGGGGAATTTGGTGAAGCTTCATATCCCCCCCCCCTTCTTTATCCACCCTAGTCCCCCATCTCCTCTGCCTGTCCAAAAAGCTGTCTCCATCACTCTCAATCAAAAGCTGTTGTACATATGTATAAAAGAGATGCTATAGCAATTGTGGAGTCCCTCAACAGTAAGTCATAACTAAACCTGAGAGATGTATGAGGCACAGCAGTAATCTGGACGTATATACAATGTATTTTGTGCTTTGTTGAAAAAAATCTTTGGATTATTGATTGCTTTGAGGAAGACTTAAGTTTAAATTGTTATATAATAAAGTCATATTTTTATCTTGGCACGAGGTAAGTGCATAAATATTTAGGATTTAGGTGTCAGAGCTTAAACATTTGATGTCAATTTGATTTTATTATAAACCCAGGGCACAGGTTTCCCTAAAGAATGGCTGCTTTAAGAATAACTTTTGTCCCTAATATTAAATACTGACTCGAGCAAGACATCCCATAAACTGCCTATAGACCGAAGACATCAGACAAACAGCTACCTCCGAAATGTTCCTCTGCTACCACTAACAAAGCGGCTACTACACTTCAGACAGGCTGTCACTCCCTAACTAGTTAAAGCATTTCAAGTCCATTTTTCAACTGAACAAACTCATTTGGGTTTAGAAATAAGACTACCCTTATAAAGGGTTTACGAATCGCTTGTAATTTATTTATTAATTAGGTTGTGAACACTTTATAAATCATTAATAAGCTTTTATAAGACATGAGATAAACAGGGCAACTGTGACCGGTTGCTTGCCAAATAGTGAGCCCACATTTATCTGTACTGCTAAGCCTTATATTGGCTACTTAGCTTACTTCATCTTCTTCATCAGCCAGCATCCTTGGTATCTGTTGCTCACTGAGTTGATTCTCGCTAAGTAGCCAATGTAAGGCTTAGTCATCTTGCCAAATAGTGAGCCTGTGTTGATGTATGAAAACTGTTAGAACTGGTTTATAAATGGTTCTTAATGATTAATAAAGTGTTTACAACCTAATTCATAACCTAATTATAAACCCTTAATGAATCCTTTATAAGGGTAGTCTTATTGTAAAGTGGTACTCTCATTTGTATTAACCTACAGTACATGTCCATTTGAATGCATTGTATCAGTGTCATAACACTCAAGATGCAAACACTACTCTAAATTCTGCAGGCCACCTCTGTGTAATTCACTAAATCACTTCACCCCGCTCTCAAAAGTTCACTTCCAAACTTCCTGGAAAAAGGAGCCGGCATTTCTGAGGAATAACAAAGAGGGTTAGAGCGAGTAATAACATTGTGTTTAATCCCACACAATTCTGCCTCGTACCATGGTGAGAACAGCGAGCCAAGGGGGACTGCAGTACAAACAAACCAACGCTCCGGCAGACAGATGTGTGTTACCAACGCATAATAACGGAATCAAGTGTCAGGAGTTTATCTATAACAAATTACCTACAATATGGCTCATTGAGTATGCACCTAAATTAAGAGAAAGATAGAAAAAGATTCAGGTGTATATTGTGAAAGAAAGTTATCATGTGTTAGTGTTGCATTTCCTCAGCTGCCCTCCTGTCCCCTCCTTCTTTTCCAAGTCGTCCCCTCCTCTCTGTGGCTCAGCTCAATCCTCGGCCCCTTCCATACTGCTGCTGCTGCTGAAAACAAAAACGAGGTCGCGGATCGACTTACTCCAGGCTTCCTCCGCATGGTCACAACCCCCCTCCCCTCCCTCCACACCTTACCCTACCAGCACCTCTCACTCAAACCCTCATTCCATCACTCTGGCCAAATCCGCCTCATCCATTCTCCCTCCTCCTCCTCCTCCCCCGTTTAATTTCTTCCCTTCCCTCTTCTTTACTCCCACCCTTCCTGTGCCCTCAGCCCAGTGCTAATTGGTAAATCTGTTGAACCATGCCAGCCCCAACAATGAGACACCTGGAGTTCTGTCAAAACAAGTTTCCCTGTGAAACGGCCTCCAGTGTTAATACAGTAGCGTAGGGAGCTGCCGAGTCTGCTGTCACTCACAGGACTGGCCGCTGAACGGAGCTGGGGATCGTGCTATCTGGAGACATTTGTAAAAGATGAGTGCACTCAACTGCCGGTCTATTGGGAGCGGTGGATCATAAATTAGATGATTTATCAATATCACTCCTGAACCTTGATCCTAGTTCTTTGTGCAAATGAACTGTGAACCAAATCGTGCTTACATCTCTCTTAAAGCCTTCTTAGTTTTTGCTCTATGCTCTACTGGTTCTCTGGGTTGACTGAGTTTGTGTTGTTGTATGCAAAACACATGTTGTAACCTGGCCTGACCTAGCTCTGCTTAGCTGTCACCTAAAACTCCAGTCACACCTAGGACAAAATTATACTACACATACGCTAGTGCAGATAAAGGTGTGTTTGTAAGACACAAACACACGGAGAAGACAGACACACCCAACAGCGATCCTGCCAGACCTTGTCAAACAAGTTCTAGCAAAGGCACTTGAGAGGGAGGGGAGGCATGCAATGATATGACATGGCAAGAGGAACAGAGTTTGTTTTCTTTTCCTTTTAAATTCTACTGAACTGCGCGATCATATTAATGGATATTTGCACAATAAAGTAGTAGCAGTATTTACATTCCTTCTTTTTGATACATTTGTGTTATTTAAGTGTGGCAGGGAGTGCAAAATCAACAAGCAATTGATTAGTCAAACAATTCAAGGAGGCAATCCAGAGAGCTCTGGTAGAGGAGGTTAATAAGTTATCATTTGGTTATTTATGTAAGCAGCGATCCAACTTCACACAGGAAGTAAACCAAACAGTCAAATCTTCTAACTTTACCTTTAGGTTCCAGTCTGTTTAAATTACAGCTCGTATTCAAGAGGGTTTAAAGTTGCAGGACAATGACAGAGGAATCTAACCTGTTTTAAATAAGACGACATGCAGTGTTACGTCACATTAAGGTTAGGTCAATTAAGTCCAGACCTTCAACCAGTGGACATAAACAGTGTGTTATTGCTTCATCTATCTCTCAGTCTTATATTTCGGCCCAGATGCTGTTAATAAAAACAGCTTCTCAAAGACACACAAACACAACAGAGAGACTGCCTTTTCCTGGACTGTAGGCTAATTCAAACCAAATACACAGCGACTCCTGGAGCTAGAAAAGATGTCGTCATTAACCAGAACGACACAGAAACTGACACCGGTTAGTCATAAGACAAATAGAGAAGGCAAACAGAATCCTTAACACACAGAAATGAGTAAGAAGCCAAACAAGAAATTACAAAGCTATACATTTTGTGTTTAGTGCTTAAAATATTGAATTAAATGATATCCCTCCTTCACAAATATCCCTTCACCTAGATTGACATTTCAGACATTGGGAAAGCACACCAGCAACAAAGCAGCAGCACTGAATTATAGCACAAAGCACAACACAGCAGGATTATCATCATCACCAGAATTTAGGGGTTATTCATTCATTATTTTTGTTTAGAAATCATCAATTATCAGTTGTTAATTTGCGTGTAGAATCAGCCAAAAAATCCAACAAGATATTTTTGGAATTCAAAGTTCTCTCACCAAATGAAATTGGTGAAGGCTCAGATCTGACTGTCCGGGGAATTCCCAGCAGAAGGGCCCCTGAAAGGCAAAGACGGACGTTCCCAAGTCACACAATTATATCAGCTCTCCATCTCTTGTTCACTCTCTCACACATACACATCTGCACACACTCCTAGCCGGCCAGGTTTTATGCAAAAGATACATGTTCTCCCTAGGAATAATACATCCCCTTGGCTTTTTAGTTATTTAAACTACTACCTTGTCTCTGCTGGCTCAGCTTTCTCCTGGGTGCATGTACGGCCTCATTATTATTAATCTTACACAGATGGAATTGGAGAACACTGGCTCTGCACTGGTTACATGGCTGGTGCTACTGGCGGGCTGGTTGTTAAAACAATAATCCACTTTGGTAGAACATTTTAACTACACAGCATCCACACTTTTACAGACGCTTAGGAGCAGTCAGCTGGTCTGGGGTTCCACTGTGGTCAAAAAGCTCTGAATACATGATCTGGCACAGAGGAGTAAATAATATCACCTGAGTGTCTGAGATATGTGTTTCTTGTTATTAGAGCTGTTTAGGAGCAAATATAAATAACCTAAGAAAGTGCACCGACTACGGGTCCCTAGAGAAGTCAAGTCTGGTATTTTTATCACGTCACTGCGCGCACTAAAATGTAACTTACTAGTCTTACTCACTGTTCAAATACACATTTCTTAAGTGGAGGAGGAATTCAGAGTTTAACCTGGCAGATGTGTACCTACTGCTCCTAAGAGCAAACATTCGGATCTGACATCTTACAGAGAGATGTCAGGAGATGATAAGAGGACAGAGAAGGAAGAAAGAGGAAGAAAATAGGGAAAGCGAGGTATTGATTTCTGAGGAAGAAAGCACATGCTAGTGGAAGTCTTAGAACATTTCGAGAAAAGCAACAGGGTCTTTAGTTTACTGAAGGGCTCCAGGACCTAAGAGCTACTGTTCAGGTCGCTTTCTCTGCAGCAAGATCACTGGGTTATATATGTACTTGTGCTTGACCCCGGGGCCAGATAGATAACGCTTCATAACAGCTAGACAATGAATGCTGTAGTTATTGGTGAAACACACACAAACACTCAAACAAATACACTCATGGATACAAATATGTATTGTCCTCTATAATGTGCATGTCTAACAGAGTCACACATTCCCTGGGGTAGCTTAAGTTCACAGAGGTTATTTAACAGTCAATAACACAGCAAGGAATATAGACAAACAGCCATTCACACCCACACAGAAACAATACAAAACTACTGTTGACATTTCCTACAGTGTTACAATAGGGAGACAATAGTCTTTACACATTTAATGTTAGAAGTATGGCTAAATGTGTTATTTTGGATTCTCACTAGCATAACTATTTAACCTAGAGGAACCTCATGGCATGTAATCGGGTACCTTTAACATTCAAATGTTAAAGTGTTCTGTTAAGTTTAGATAAGAGTCTTTAGTCATTGTTGTGGTTTGTCCCTGACTAAGCCAACATTGAGTGGATTGTCTGTGGGAACAAGTGGCTGTCCAGACTGCTGGACAATGACTGAGGTGCTCTCATTTTCTTGTCTGTGCCCGAGCCTGACGCCATGTCTCGACGGCCTCAGATTTTGGCCAGAGTCGATGATGTAAGCGTGACCTCTTGAACAAACGTCTTGTCTAGAGAAGACAGTGAGAGACAGGCACAATGGCCTCTGTCTGAGGTCTGGATTACGTGCCTAAAAGAACTAGATTAAATGGACAAAATCTACAATGTCTATGTAATTTAGGATTATTATTTCAATATATATATATATATCAAATATTTACATTTTTAAATAGGAATGCCTGATCCGTCAATCCTACTTCAAAAGTGGCCATTACAATAAATACATTTGTGGGATAAGAGATTTCTATTGCAGCAAAGGTTAAGGGTGAATGGAGGGATTCATGCACGGAAAGAAGACAAAAGCGGGGGAGAGGTTAGTCGGAAAAAAAGGCTTTAAATGCAGAAGGAAAGAGCAGTTTAAGGTCGGCATAAGTCAGGATAGAGAAAGCCGTCTAGGTAAAGCCTATGGACAGTGTGTGGGTGGTGCCTGCTGACCATGGGGTTGCTCATTAACAGCTGCAGAGGCCAGGCATCCCAGAGTTCTGGGAAATTGTCTGCCTAGCCCAGGTGCATGGCCCATTCAGACCACAGGAAGCCCCCTTTATCCCCATTCCTCTAACATGGACAGAGACGCGGTCAAGGAAGGTGAATGTGATCCTGGCCTGTCTTTTCTAACACCAAACTAGAGTACCAGTCACATGCTCATACAGTCCTTCGGCCCATTGTTGGGATCCACAGTCATTGTGGCATGTCTTTCTTGAATGCTCGGCTAAGATGGGGTTCTTGTCTGTTTTTCTTATAATATGAAAAACACGTCAGCTCTTTTCACAAAGCCAGTACCCATTCTTTAGAGAAATAAGAATGAATGGGGATAAAATAAGCATGTTCTGTAGTTGTAAAGGCTCAGGTGGGAGGTCTTGCAAGCCATAAAAATGGCCAGATTCCATCACTTCCTCCACACTAATTACCATACACTTGGAGCAAGTGCCCTCCCTCTCTTCATCCCTGTGCCCATGCTTCACTACCTCTGACACACACACGCACACACAGTGAGGCGCAGTTGGGAAATGGTTAACACTCCAGCCGTCCCCTGCTGCCAGTGAAAGCTTACAAAACAATGGAGACATTGTTCGACCAGGGCTAGGCTCTAGACTCTAAGGCTGTGTGTGTGTGCGTGTGTGCGTGCGTGTGTATGCACGTGAATGTCAGGAAAGTAGTTTGTCTGTGTGTATGTGTTTATCATTTGCATGTTTCTGTCCCAATTCCCAGAACGATAACTTCAGAAATCTCATTCAGTAATAAATACTTCATATTTTAAATGCTAACATATATAGTATATATTGTGCCTTTCAGCCAAATGACGTCATAACTTAACATATTTTACTGCACTTATGTTGATGCTATCCCACACACACACACAAACACACTTCAAGTCATAGATTTACCAAACAATCTGGTGCGGTATTTTTGTTGTTGTTACTCGGTTAATCTAATAATCACTTTCTTGAAAATAGTGGGGTAATAACAAAAAGAATACACACCACTTATAACATTTGACCATAGCTTTAAACAACTTCCTGCTAAGTATACGTGTCAAATTAAATCACAATGAAAGGCAAGTTGACAAAGCAAGTACTGTTTATGATCTTTCCTTCAGGGACTGTGTGAAGCATACAAATATTTCTTGGAGTCTCTCCCTCAAAAAATACACATCAATAGATGGATAAATATTGAATAACTTTTAGCCAATGGCATAAAAGTTCAGCGGCGGCAGCTTTTGAGACTGCCTGCGGGGTGGTCAGGCACTTCAAAGGGTCCTGCGTGGCCCCCTTTGAGGGCATGGTAAACAGGGGCATACAGCGTGCCCTCCGAAAGACCGGCCTGCGTGAGGTCACTTCCTCTTTTTCTCAGCTGATCCTCCAGCATTCCACCTCGACTGAGCCTTCCAGCCAGAAATGAGACCGCCTGTCTGCACCTCCGTCCCTGTCCATCTCTCTTCCATCTTTCTCCTCAGCCACAACTTTCTAACAGGCCTTATCTACAGACATCTTTATCCCTCCCTCTATCTCTCACTGTCTGTTTTTATTGTTGTTTCAACTCACTCAGGGTCACTCAGGCTTCAGACTGCTGTTATCTAGTAGGCCAATCTGGGTCTTCTTATCACTGCTGGAGCATCTAACTTCCACTCCCGCTAGAGAGATCAAGGTGTTCCTTTGCATTGGTATACGAAAAACCAACTACCGTTTACAGCCCTATTTATTGATAAGGGCATCACGGACTGGAACATGTATGCCTACATCTTCCACTAAAAAATAAATAAAATGGCTTGACTGATTGAGCGAGACCAGTGGGAGTCCATGTGGAGTTATTATTGGCATTCATGATGCTGTCTACCGTAATCTGTCTTTTCTATATGTACAACAGCCAGTATGATGCAAACCAGGGAAACATTCAATCACAATTCCTTCTCAGTCAGAGGTGTGTGCTGGAGCGGGATGGCAGGAGCGGCAACTATACAAGCTGCATTTCACATTCAATTTTATCACTCGGGGCTAACAGCGAGATGTGCGCCTAGGCAGCGATGCTGCAATGCCTCTGATCTTACCAGCCTGTGTACTCTATCAAACAGATCACACTAGGGCTGGGCAATATGACCACAAATATTACAATATATTCTCTCATATTGATCAGTGGGGGGTGTGCAGTAATCAGCAGCGAACCGCTTCGACACGTGTATTTCGGTTTATTCACAGCATTCTTTTTGTTATTCTACAGTATTGTTGTTTTATACTTATTTGTTAATGTATATAACCCAATTTGTGTTCTTTGAAATTGAAAAGGATATTGCATTGTGTGTGTTACTTTCGTTGCAGTCGTATATGTCTTAAGTGTAATTTGGCTTGGCTTCCTATTTTGTATGGACATGCTTTTATTTTGAAGGAGAGTTAGAAGAGCTATGGAAACAACGTAACGGAGATTAATGGAGAAAAAGTCATATCTACATATAAAGACGGAGAAAGTAAACACTAACGTTTATGGTTAAGTGTTAGCACCCCCCGAAGAGGCACAAGCTCTTACGTTAATATTGGAGATTTCAATAAATAAAATAAATAAAAAAAGAATATCCGAATAACGAAATTGAAACCCGAATAGTACTCCAACGAACGAATATTCGGATATTCGGGTACATCCCTAGTAGATAGATATATATTACTGCAAAAATTAAATCATGCAACTAATGCAAGTTAAAGCTGCAATGATTACACTTAATGTGTTATTCTCAAAGCTCATTTAAAAGGGAATCGTACAGCAGGAGTTAAGTGGATGTGAGGTAGTAAGTATTTACAGCCGTATGAGTCATAGCAGGATAAAACCTCAAGTATTTACCTGCAGCTTTTGTTGCATACAACCAGTTTAATGACTTCATAGGAGTTGGAACTCATTTCTCAGCCTCTCCTAAAATAACAGAGTACGAAGAGGCCCCTGAACTCTTTGGAATATAAATAACACTAGCATCGCAGAGAAAGATAAGGAGGGCCTTAGCTGGGCTTGTTTTGTTCAGTATAACGCTGTCATCGCTAGCTCTTTGTCTTAAAAACACAACTTTTGACAAGGTTTCTGTTTCAAATAAACAGCCTTGTCGACTCCTGCTATTTTAAGACGTGCTTAACTTAAATGGGCAAAATACCAAGGAGGCCTCGGCTTGCCAACTTTTGAGTAACTGTTCGAGATGGTATTTATTACAGACCATAAAAGTAACTCAACTGATCAAATGTCAAATGCGACTCAGAGGGACACTCTGTCTCGACAGTGTAATTTGTGGGATACAAAATCTTTGCTACCTTCTGTGTGAGCTCCACAGCCGTGACCACTACTAACTGCATTGCTTCGTAGAGTGCTTAAACACAAAGGGTCAGCCGTGTATTATTAGCTCCAGCTCGACGGTTACTACAGGAGATATTCTATTCATGAGCAAACAAACTTGGAAGGTTTCTCAATCTCAAATAGTTATGTGCTTTTCAAATTTTCATTTTCATAACAATATGCAGAAGATGCCCGACTCCAAGACAAAAGTAACAACTGTGCCAATAATGGCCCAGGGCATTCATGATCACCTCACTAATTCTGCTCAATCCCCACTCATTGATTTTTTCGTGCTAACCCTGTGACCACATACAGTACGTACACCTCCCTACGTTCAACCTTTCCATTGACCTCTTGAGAAACGTTCCGCCTTTAGCTAACGACTAAGTTTATACTCAATTGTTCATTCTAGCGCTGCTTGCCTCTCAGATATTGACATGCCAGTGGTGGATGCTCTGTGTTGTGCATGTGCTGCGTGTGCCCCTATGGCTGTCCAGCCAACTCTCCTGCCAGACTACTCCTCCAACTCCATGAATAGGGTAATCAATGTTGAAGGAAGGCCCACACTTTCCTCAAATACGATATGTTAAAAGACCAGCATTAGCCCATTCTCTTGAAAAAGTTGTCAACATAAGACCAGTTTTCCACAATCTTGCAGCTCAGAAAGAGGCTGGGCTGGGTTATCATTTCTCTCTGGGATTAAAGGTGGTGTTGCTGTCCAAAGAACAACTGCTGCACCTGCCACAGTGGCAACCCCCATTGACATTTGCCTCCTGATCACTCACTAACAGACATAAGCTCTTTTATTCTGGGATTCACAACACTTCTCAATGTCAAAATGTGCACTTATAAAATAACAAGTTTACATAAAACTGTCTGGGTGCGTTAGTGACTGTGATTTAAGGGGAAATGCAAACAAATGTGCATTTTCTAGTCAAAACATCCACTTATGGGGACAAGGGGAGGCTTTAACACTGAAGAGGTATGGGTAAGAGAAGAAAAGCAGGGTTTGTTTGTCTGTCTGTCATGCATAAGGGAAGAAGAGCTGGTGAAAGAAGAAAAGTACCGGGCGGAGTTCTACTTACAACGATGTGTGCCGGTGATGGGGACCTGGCATCTTTAAGTGCTTGTCTACTTTGAAGACCTCCTTGTTGAACATCTAGCAGGGGCCATTTCATCTGTAGGTACTGAATGGTAGAAAGGAAACAGAATGGAAAGCAAACATGTTAACAATGCAGAAAGCAAAAACCAGAAAGAACAAATACAAAATAAGACAAAAAAAGGAAGACATTTCTTGACATCGGTGTGGAAACTCAAAAACATGGAAAACAAAATGAAGATCTAAAAGGTGGATGGGGTGAGGACGGCCTCAAGCATGCATATGAGAGTCCAGTATGGGTACACACAGTAGTATTATCATAAATAAAAACAGCATAAAACAGGTAGTTCTTTGGTAGCCAGACTCAGTGAGCAGGAATTTTAGAACAAAAGGTTCTTTTTTCTTTTGTAAAGTAGCTTACTAGTGACTTTGGATTGCATTAAGTAACTCATTTGGAGTTGGGGGAGAGCAGAGGTCAAAGGTAGTACTGTACTAAGCTCGTGGCTTTGAGATGACCTAATGTCATAAATGTTGTCAGACTTTTATTGGAACACATAAAAAGGTTAAAGTGTGGCGTCTGACTCCACTCCTCTGGGTTTAAGCCTCCTGACGGCTCCCATTAATGATTGACTTGGGCTCTATCAAAAGTCTCTCCCTCTTTCTCTCTCACACACACACAGGAAAAACAGATAAGCAGAAACGAGGGTCATGAGAAACATCTGGCTGTTATAAACTGGGTGGAGTCCTTCTAATTTGATGACGTGCTTTGCTGACTCTACCTTGAATGGTTTACGTAGCACTACAAGGTTATTGTCTTCATCTTCACATATTCCTTCAAAAATACCCAATACTAAAAAAACACTTTGCGCATATTTATATGAAAGTGAAATTACTCTGTGACTATACAGCCAATTCTCTTCAGACATGTCAGCCATGGACTGCCTGGTGTTTGCTAAAGTATGTAGTCCAGACTGCATGTCAATGTCATGGCCACCTAGTTCGAGGTAAAAAGGTCACAGCTGCTGTTTCAGCTCTGAGGCCTTAGGAATGGGTACCGTACTGAGAGTTGAATGACCTAAAACATGTGAAGAAGGGAAACTACTTAGGCAGCAGGACATCCTTCACGTTCAAATATTAACCTCAGTGGCCTGAAATTAACTGTTTGACTCAACCACCAAGGAAACCGGTAGTTAAAAACCATCTCCCATCGCCAAGCATACATTTAAATGTTGTATATGTCTCAAGAAACCACATGGAAGACCAGGAACAACATTTTGTGCTGGCTAATAAATACAAAAATCCTGTTTTGTAACTTTTGTGCCAAAGATACTTGATAACACAAAGAAAGAAATGAAAATGTTCATTCATATGTGCTGCTATTACACCACAGTATTCCCCTAAAGACAGTCCGAAAGATTAACTGATACTAAGGAACTCATCTGAACTTTGGACTGCCTTTACACATTACTTGAAGATGCTATCTGAACCCTTTTCACTTATGAGTGATTGAGATCATGTGCCTCTTTGCAGTTATGACACAAGACCTAAGAAAGGTTGATGAAATCCTGTTACATTGCATAATTATCTCACCATCATTATTGGCTCAGAACCCAGGATCACATTTTGGCACATGGCGAGTAAAATGTAAGGCATTGCCGTTTAATAAATAAAAAAAACAGTTCAATCATAGTCCAGTTTGGCAGTTGTTTACCAATGCAGGTACATTAGATTACATTTATTTGTACTGCCATCCACTAATGGTGACAGCGAGTTTGTATGCATGTGAGGCCGGGTGTGTGTCTGTGTGCTGTGTGTGTTTCAGAGCTAGTCAGAGAGTGAGTGTGTCACGACCCTTCCTGAGACTGTGTCTAAATCAGTGGTAATTAGTGAAGAGTTCACTGTGGGGGGTGCCTGCCAGTGGTAGACGCTGGAGGGAGTTATTGACTCCATGTCCTCGGTTACAGCCTATGCGAGGGGGAAAACGGTTTGCTGCCTGGTCTTTCTCCACAGCTACCACTCATTTATGACTCCAAGATGGTTTTTATTGCTAAAAAACTGAGTTTGTTTATGCTTGTTTGTATGTCCTTAGAGTGGAAAAAGAAAAGGTTGTAAAAAAACTCCAGAGTTGTAGTCTTGTGGGTTTTTATGGACCCCCCACACTGGGTATTAATTGCCATGAAGGAGGGAGAGGAGGAGGAGAAGACGGGGGTGGTGTTGTAACAATAAAAGACGAGGAAGAGAGTGACTGGGCTGTTGTCATCCATGAGGTAATTCAAGACAGTGTCCACTGGTGCCGGGGAGGGTGGGGGGGGCTAGAAGACGAGGTAGTTGGGTAGAGAAGGGGGGTAGATGTAGATACAGTCATGGGAAAGTCCTGCCATTGCACAGCTGCAGCCGGAGAAGAGGTCAGGCGAGAGGACGCTCTGAGAAGGTGGGCACGGAGCGTGAAGGTGACACCCGACTGTGGTAGAGAGACACTGAAAGACTACGGACAGGGAGGGTGCCGCAGCGCATGCCCCGACAAGTGGCTCCACTTCAGCCCTGCTATTACAAATGTTCTCACACACTAATCTCTCCTGTAGGTTTTACAAGCATGCCAAAGAAAACGGAGTCCCAGCAAGCACCGGGCTTTCCAACCACCCCCTTCTTGGCCTCCTTCCTGTTCCTCCGCCCCATCCGCCTGCCCCGCTAACCGACGCACCGCCTGGGCTTGAGTAGGCCATGACCTCTGACCCCTCTCTGCTGCTCCAAACCCCTCCCTGTTCCCCACTCTGCAACCTGAAAACTCTCCCGCTATGAGGGGGCCCCCCGGGTAACTCAAGTGCCATTCCAATGTGACAAATTGCTCCGGAGTTCCAGGATAACTCTCTCTTCTCCTCTGTCTCTCTTCCTGCCCTCCTCCCACACACACACACAAACACTAAAACGCCCCCCTTGACAGACCCCCACCCTGTAAGAGCCACCCAGTGACTGTGCTGGCTTTGGGTTGTGCAGCAGACAGCTTCTCCTTCTCCCTTTCAGCCTCCCCCTTTCTTTTCCCTTACCCAGCGCCCCTCCACGCCAGGCCAGACCCACAATGGGAGCTGAATGACTCAATTGTCTCTGATGAAGTGAAAGACAAGGGAGTCCTCTAAATCCTTACAGAGGGATGAACTCACTCTCACTGTTCCGATGTTCCTCTCCTATACTGCTTTCCCAAGCAAAAGAAGGGGGCTGGTGGTGGGGGGTGGGAGTTGTTTACATGCCTATGACTAATGATTATTTTCCTTATTGATTATTTTGTATCTTCTTTTTTCAATTACCCATTCGTCTATACAAATCTGTCAGAAAATGCCTGTTCCCAGGGCCAAAGGTCCCAATAGTTTTTCCTGCAGACCTTCAGGTCCAATTTGTCCAAAGTGCAGATTTATCGTTACATTGAAGACCAAACCAATACAATTTGGTATTTTTCTCAAACTCTATTCTTCTTTTTACAATACTAAGTTCGAGCAGGTGCTTTCTATTTGCATGCTGGACTACTCACCCATATGTGAGTTACTGCTGCTATACCAAGGTCTAACATGTTATGAGCTACAGAGTGTTAACCCAGATCCACACTGACTGTCATCGCAGTGAAAACAAGCTGGGGCCTTGGTCCCGATGTCACAGCTCGTGGCAGAGGGGAAGTGGGCTGGAGACAATTCGAGGGGCATCCTGAGCACTCACACATCATCCTCACACACACACCGGCTCTCACCACTGTTGTTACTAATTCAACAAGCTGGCACGGAGGCTATTTGGCTTAAAACTTGGTACCAGTGCTGGACTCTGATCCTACCAAAATATAAACCATTTTTTCCACATCCTATCAAACATTAACCAAACGTCAATATGTGCTATTGACAAATAATGGGGGAGGGGGGTCTTACTCATAAATGTTTTATTGAGAATGAGAGACAAGGAAAGTGCAGGATTGTTATGCCAGTTTCTGGGCAGCTTTTTTTTTCTGATCAAGCCCCAGTCTGATGTGTTTATCGGAGCAGCAGCCATCACACGGCGTGTTCGTTTTGTTTTGGATTAAGAGCAGAGGGCTTCAGACCAATCAAACAAACAGAGCTCATTATGTGCCAATGTGGCTCCAAAACACTTCCAGCAGGGAACCAGGGGACAGATGATGAGGACCACTGGGGCTCCAGCAGGCATCCCGTCCATGTGAGCAATGTGAGAATGGGGGGGAGGCAGGCAAAGGCAGAGAGACAGATAGCAGCTTGGGTTTAGAGTTAGCATATGGATACTGGGTGTTGCTGTAGAGTCCAGCAGATCTTCGGCCCATCTGTGGCCTCATAACATGACAGACATGACATAGCTCTACACAGGCGTCATTGACAACGTTTACAGATGACACATGTACATTCACAGCGACCCCCCCCACCACCCCCCCCCCCCCCCCCCCGACATGCTTACTCAACCATTCACACCTAAACAACAATGCTCACCTACATTTGAACATACTCTGGTGGACAGGCCTGGCAGCTCCTCTGGGAGAGCGCTCAGAGATGGGATTGACAGCTTGCAGATTACACCAATCAGACCTCTACTCTAAAGAGCTTTATTTAAGTCTGAAATGATCAAGGCTAGTAAAAGGGAGCCCATTCAAAGCTCTGCAAGTAAACTGCACCAAGCTTAAAAGATTAGTCCATCCAGTTTGACTACAATTTTATATCCCTTTAAAAACAAGAGCTGAGCATATTATCTTGATCTGCTGCGGATATTACCGGCAGTCTTTGTCCTCACTCACAGGTGCCAGAGAAAAAGCAATTGCGTGCCTATACAAACACGTAATTTGTTGAGGAAGGGGCAGTCATTTTCTGTAATAGGGGGAGGGAAAGCCTAATGCAACACAGACACTTTGAAATCTACCTAATTAAAAAAGAAATAACTAGCCCACTGAGCTATATACATTGTTGTTTTGGTTTCTGTGTTCAGTAATGACTGTAGAGCAAATAGAGTAACGCAAGAATACCTTGACAAAACTGGAAGAAAGTTGCAGACACAAGACGGCCCATCATGGCTGCTTTGGTTCTACTAATGCACATTTTATGAGTTAAT